CCCCCTCTCTCTCTCTCTCTCTCTCTCTCTCTCTCTCTCTCTCTCTCTGTGTGTGTCCACACAGAGGCCCAAATGTATTTATTGTTTACACTATAAAACCCAAGGTGTTTCAGTGCTGCTACCTCAAGAACAATCCTAGGTCGTGGTTAGTCAAGTCAAAGGTCACGAGATGACTGTGAGGAACGTTTGTAGCTCCACAGTTAAATGTTAGTGGTTCCTGTTATTTCAGTGTGTTCCCAACTTGTGACCATGTCCACAGCCTTCTTTTCCTGCCCTTTACAAGAAATGTCCCATAACCCCTGTTGAGCAGTTTGTGGACTCTTACGTATTTGGAATTATAATGTACTTGTTTATTTAACATTAAAAAGGATCCTTTCCCCGCCTCCTGCCCACCTCCACCCCAGCCACCAGACAGTGAACCTGTTTCAGGTCCTGTGTAGACTCAGCCATTCTCCTCTTGGGAATGAAAGGACGAGAGACTCTGTAGGTGGATTGCTGGCACGTCTTCATTTCTCAGTGCACTTTTTTAAACCACTGGACTTAAGCTGCACATATTTAAATGCTTCCCTGTAAAGATGACAGAGCGGGTGGAGAGTCCCATTGGCTGAGTCCTAATCTGTTTGCTTTGTTACAATCTTTCTTCCCTCCCCCCTTCACTTTAACCGTTAACCTATTTATAAATCTAAATCTACACACAGAGGTCACTGGTTGGCTGAACTTAAACCATTTTACTCAGTAAATTTAATTAAGAAAATACAGTGCAACTCATAAGCAAATGAGTTTTTTCCTAGTTTTAAACCAAACCACCCTCTTGAGTGCTGATTGCCTTGCCCGACCCCTGGTGATACAGAAACAGGCAAAATTAAAAAGGACATTAAAGCTTCATTAAATCTGAAACACATTTAGTACAGTGACATATCTGCAGGCCATTTCAGAGAAGATTACATACTCTCTTTGGTAAGTTTCCTAATTTATAATACCTTGACAATCAAAACTGGGGAAATGCAAGGTGATTAATAGGCCAGTAGGCTAAGAGACACGGACCAGGCCAGGCCTAGCCATCCGACTGCTCACAGCATATGTGCTCCCTCCCCCGGAAGGAGTCCGTGTTTGTTGTGACTTTTGTGAAGAAGTTCTTCGTGCAGCCATGTCTGCTCAGAGTGCACTTGCTCCTTCCACCTGATAGCCTGATGAAGGGCTTCTGGGCCTCACTTTGGGTTCCTCTCCACTCGGTCATGAGACAGGCGGCGGTGAGAGCACAGCTCTGGGACCCCATTAGACTAAAGGACAAGGACACACATGGAAGGCAGAGTCCTCTGAAGGGGCCTTCAAACAACTGCCTTCAATGCAGCCCAGTTACACTCTGCCTGAGCTCGCTAGTGTAGAGCTGGGACCCTTAAGTCTCCTGCCATAGCAGCCCAGTGATGGCACTCCATAAAAGAAGTGACCATCCTGTACCAAGGTCAAGGGACCCTTCTGTGTCATGTAAATCCAGCGTTCACATCTGCAAGATTCCAGGTAGGACTCAGGTCCCAATGGATAGATGTCAGGGAAACACAAAACAAAGTTAAACCCAAGAATGCCCCTCGCCCCAGGTCAGCCACTGTTGCTTGTTCCTAAGCAGGCTGAGCAAAGGGGCCACACCAGCCTGCCACACCAAGTCTTCTCTGGTCTCCTGCATAGCTTTTATACATTAGTAAGTATATAGATTTTTAAGATATAAATTTCAGGTATCATTATTTCATTTTGGTGGATTTCCTTAATCTTTTCACATACAAATGAGAAAACATATAAATGAGGCACAGGAAAGAGGATGATGCTCACGTGAATCAGATGAATGGGACCAGCCATCCTTGCTGCCCCAGTTATGACAGAAGGGCAGGTGCATGCGTGCACATGCTCCTGTCTGCTGGACACCAGCTGTCGGCCGCTGATGACTGGCAACTCAGAGGCCCGTGTTAAGATGAGAGAAATTCAATTCTCACATTATCCTGCCCTTGCTACTTAAGCCTTTTTCTTATTTTATTTGTCTGTGTTTTTTTGGGGGGAGGACCTCACTATGTGGCCCAGGTTGATGTTGAAGTCAGGATCCTACCAGCATAGTTTTCCAGAGTGCTGAGATTACAAACACTACCACACCTGTCTTGTTTCTTGATTCTTTAAAATGCAAGAACCAAGAGTGTTGGCACATTGGGTCTCTTAGCTCTTGATAGTATGTGTGGTAGGCACATTGCTTCTGCCAGTCATGTGGGCAGAAATCTTCCATGGTCCCCAATGATGTGTTCAACACATACTCACATGTAAGGAATTAAGCCAGAATGTTATGAGTGTATTGTAACAGATATCAGGCTCTTAGCCATTGTAGATGAGAGATCCTTCTTTGGCTGTCTCTTTACCCCAGATGAAATTCATACTCCACAGATCATTGTGATAATAGGTGACAGCTTTTGGTCACTCCTCACTGCCTGTCGGGTCGTTACAGAAGGGTACACCCACCACAACAGATCACAGTGACTCCTGAGTCAGTGCGCACACTCTCATTGGCAATCTCTGTATTTTTCAACTCGAATATGAACCTCCAGCTTGTGTTGGGCAAGAGCAGAGTGGGGCAGAATAACAGCATTTAGACAGCAGCCAGAATCACACAAAACCCTGGACTGATTCACGTGAGCGTCCATCCTCTTTCCTGTGCCTCATTTATGTTTTCTCATTTGTATGTGAAAAGATTAAGGAAATCCACCAGATGAAATAATGATACCTTAAATTTATATCTTAAAAATCTATATACTTACTAATGTATAAAAGCTATGAGTACAAGGTGGCACTTAATTAGATATCCCAACACACACAGCACATACATGTGCAAACACAAATATCCAAATGAGTGTTGGCCTTTTCAAAGGAGTCTACCATCTAAAGTCATATGGCTCATCCCTATTACATTACTGTTCAAACTGCCTTTAGAATTTTAAAAACCTCAACAGCTCAGTCTGTCCTTAGTAAGTGATCTTTGTAGGTATTTGGGGTTTGAATATACATGGGCCATTCGGGCATCATGCTACACAGAAGTCACATGATCACCAAGCTGAGGGGTGTCTTTTAAAATCCAAGTTTTGATTAGTTCTCATAAAGTGAGGAAGGTATTCTTTTGTTTCATGAAATGATTCTAAACACCGTTTTAAAAGAAGAGTTTTGGAAGTGTCTGAGCAGCATCAGTGTCTTTGAAACAAGTATGCAGCTGTCAAGCTGTCAGAAGGCTGTGCATTGCGCTGGGAAGGACCCTGGACTAACAGCAGGTTTGGGGGACGGCCTCTAGATTTCCCTTGACTCACCGTGTGAGGACCCCTGAGGGACTCGAGGACTTGTATCTGCTCTCTAGGTCCGTGTGCTCAGAGGCATTTTTGCTGCCTTAAGGTTACACTTGTACTTTGCAGGCAGTTCCAGGTGTGTATGGAGGGTTCAGAACCAAGAGTGGGGCACACTGGGAAGCTGCACAGTTTGATCATTGTTTCCTTTAAATAGGCAATGGTCAGCTGCTGGTGCACACCTTTAATCCTAGCACTTGGGAGGTAGAGGCAGGGGGATCTGTGATTTGAGGCCACCCTGCTCTACAGAGTGAGTTCTAGGACAGGACTGTGTACAAAGACCCTGTCTCAATAAACAGATAAATGTAAATAAGTTGTGGTTTATTTGTTCAGTCTGATCTTATTACATTATATCAAGCCTATACTTGTCCAAGTCACTTAGTTTTTACATGTGAGTTAACAAAAGTGGCTAGCCCAGAAACAAAGAGCGGTATACAATCAAACTAGGCATAGTGGGTCGGGGGAGACACGACTGACTCTCCCCGGTTCAGATGGAGGCCTCTAGGACCACCCTCACAGCCTTGCATGGCCAGTTCCACAGCAGTAGGACCTGGAACTGACAGGGAAACGTGAAGCAGTGAGTGAGTGGGAATGATTGCGTAGGTTTCAACGTCATAATCTAGCCCACCCCACCTCCTACAACCCCTCCTTCAGACCTATAGCCGAAAACCACAGAGCTGCGCTCTAGAACCAACTAGACGTTCCCATCTTACATGTGTACATCTCTGTCTCAAAGAAACTGTCACACACATACATGTGAATAATGCCCCCAGCGTTGAGAATACACCCAAGAGAAAGTATGTGGGATAATGTTCAGTTCTTGAAATTAGGATATTTTTTATCAGAGATGAAATATTGTCTATTAAAGAGGTCCATTCTAAATACAGTTTATAATGTAATTACAGCAATAATTTAGTTCGTGCATTAGCATTGTGGATTTTTTTGTATTTGCTAGATGCAATTCTGAAATGTAGTTCTTGTCTGTCTTAAGGAGATCTGCCCTGCATGCAAATCTATAACTAGACAAATATTATTTTCTTTCCCAGCTTGCTCTTGGGAGGTTTCCATATCCTCAGGTAAGATTGTTCATTACTACCATTTGCCACTGTGACATTCGTTCCTATGTATGAAGGTGCAGCAAGCGATTGTGAACATTTGAGCCACATACAAATAAATCTGTCCTGTTAAAATGAAAAGTAGTATCTTAAAGGAATCATTAGAAGTCTCTATTGGCTTTTTATTTAAAAACAAACAAACAAACAAAAAACTCTGGACTTTTTTCCCTTGTTAGAGGTTGACTGAGACCATCATGCTCCTCTTTGTATGACATTCGAGGCGTCCCTTCTGCCCAGCTCCATGTGCTCATGTCAAGGTGGAGGAGGGGCACCCTTTTCTTCACACTTTTTATGAGCATTTTGGATTCAGTTCAAATTATTTGAGTTAAAAGATGAAGACAAAGGGTGAAAATATCTAATGTGGGTCATTGTTTTTACCAGGTACACAGGCCCCCAGTTTCATCTGTGTATGATTTTGAACACATTACACCTTTTCGATTTTCTTCCTTCCTATTCACAAATAGTTATCAAGTATTGAAAATCCTAAAATTTTATAATTTCTTCACAATTTTCACTAGAGAAGGATGCTAGCAGTTAAGATATAAAGCTATTTTGTGGCTTGAAAATGATTCCCTGCTGTTGGGGGGCAGTAAGCGCAATGTCCAGAGGGATGAAAAATGAGCGGCTGACGGGTCTCTTCTGGTTGATGTGTGCTGTTTTTCTGGCATCTTGGTCTGAACAGGCCAAAGTGCCTGGAGGCATGTCTGATTTAAAGGTGGTGTTGGTCTCTGCTCTTTAAGCATCTATTAACTTGCTATTATTATGCAAATAAGTGTTGTATTACACATACTAATTTATGCATGGTTAGATTATGCAGATGCATCACAAACATGGTTATTGAATAATAGGAGGGGGCGCCTTCTCCCTAACCATCTTTAGAAGCGGTTCTCAGCATATTCTCCCAGTACCCAAGCGGACTTCAAGAGCCTTTACTCACTGAAATGTCTCTTTTGAAGCCCTCTTCCTTCACAGTTAAGAGTCATCAGATAAGTAGAAATGACCTGAGCTGTTAGATTTAAGGTGTTAGTCTCGCTTTCCAATGGGAAAGTCTCTTTGCTTAAGCATCATCTTTTTCCTTTAAAGAGAAAACCTAGAATGCAGCCAGTTGGCACACACCAGCACGTAGTGAGATTTCGACGTATACAGTCACGCCACTCAGCTCTATAGGTAGCCCATCAGATTAAAGTCACATTGTCAAGATTTATAGTCATTTGAATATTTATCTTGTTAAGCCTCTTAAGTCTGTTGGTAATTTGTAAACAGTTCAATGTTTGACTAATTCATGTAATCCTGTAAAACTGTGAAAATGAACATGAGGCCCTTCATGACCTAACTCTTAAAATAGTCCTGATAACACTTACGAGCCATCTGATAAAGATTGAGGGCCAGCAAGATGGCTTGTCATGCAAACCTGATAGCCTGAGTATGATCCCTTGGACCCAAAGTGGGGGTGCAGAAAACTGACTCCCACAAGTGACCTCTGACCTCCACACATGTGCCTCCCCCATAATAGATAAAATGGTTTTTTTAATTTCGAAAATTGAAATTGTAGCCAGATCTTTAAGGTCCCTAATAATATCCAGAGTAAGTAAGCAGTGACATTGGCTGAGTGAGAAGTCTGCAGTGTGGTTGTCATTGTGTGACCTTGAACCCTTGAAAGCCACAGTCGGATTTGGAACAGGCAGGTGTTGCTTCACTGAATGACCAAGCACCCCTGTGCTTGATCAGTTGAGCAGAAGATGGGAAGTTCTAACAGGCTGAACTCCCTAACTAGCCAAAGGTCTGTAGAGGAAGGGGTTATTCCTTGAAACATCATAGAATGCTGTCACCAAAATGATGCTTTTACTTCAGATAAAAGCAGCCTTGATGGATCAGGTCCTCCCCAGGTCTTTCATCTGAAGTCGGGGTGATTCACTACTGACAATCAGTAATGACTTTAGTGTGATTCACATCTACTGTACAGGCTTTGTGTTCTCGATGAAAGATTGGGCAAAGATCCTTTGTAAATGCCTTCCGGGGGCTGGAGAGATGGCTCAGCATTTAAGAGCACTTGCTACTCTTCTAGAGGAGCAGGGTTTGGTTCCCAGCACCCATGTTGAGCAGCTCAGAACTGCCTGTAACTCTAGCTCCAGGGGATCCAGTGCCGTCGTCTGGCCTCTGCAGGTGCCTGCTTGCATGTGGTGCACGTAAACTCACACAGACACACACATACATAGAAAATCAATCAATGGGTGTCCCCCTGCTCCTTTCTCCTTCCCTCATATGGGACAGGTAAAGGCAAATGTATGTTCCTGAGGCGTTGCAGAGACTGGATCATGAGAGCACACCTTCACCCTGCCCCCTGCTGCCGCACCCCAACTCCTGTGTGCTGTGAGACAGCCTTCCTGTGACGCATAAGCAGTCACCATTGCTGACTGCTGAACTGCGGCTGATTTGCTAACATTAACTCTCGAGTGGAGTGGGTAGGGGTGAGTCATAGACTCTGGAGTTGAAAAGGATTGTGAGCATCGTCAAATCAAACCATACCATGGTCTCTATAAAGCAGATGGCCCTGCCTTTGACTGTCTTGAGTGACTGGAAGCTCAGCATTACCCAGCAGTCCTCTGTCCACCACAGTGAAGACTCTGGCATCCTGAGTATGGTCCTGGAACACTCAGGTTGTGTCCTTTTGAATCCCTCCATCCCTTGCCTGGGGTTAGTACCCCAGAGAATTGCTGTTCTGCACCCGAAGTCAAATCAAGGCCCCAGACTGGTGCTCTCTTCCTTAGAGGTCAGTTGAGAACACAGAGGTGAGTCAGAAGTTGCATCGGAAGAATCAGCTCGACCACAAAGTGTCCAGTCCTTCACTCTTGCTTTGTAAGTGTCCTGAGCCCTTGTCTTCCTCATCTCTGAGAGAACAATCCTGGTATCTGCCTTCTCTTTCTGATGTAAGAGGCTGTGCTGCTCAGATGAAATGATGGATAAAAGCCACTTAGGAAAGTACAAGGAGGCCCCGGTGCCACTGTGGCCCCCAGTGCAGACTGTAGCTCGAAACAGCTTTTGCCTCTTAAGCACCCTTAACCCCCCTGGAGCCGAGGGCAAAGCGGGAAGGGGAGCAAGCTTCCAGACTTCCAGCCCAGCACCAGTGCTGCTGACAGCATCTTTAGCAGTCCCTCTTCCGGTTGGTGACAGGGTGTATCGGGTGGGGGTGCAGATGAGGGAGGAGGGCTTGGACACGATAGAGTCCGCGGCCAGGGACAGTGTAAGAGAAAAGGCTGGATTTCTTGGAGATCCTCCTTCTGTGTGAATGTCATTGTTTTGTGTAGTCGGGTGTTTGCTTTTTGGAAACACTTGTAGGGTTTCCTTTAAGCCTTGGAGTCGCCACAGGCTCCTAGGGATACAGTCTGGCTTCTAAGAAGAAAGGTTAGGGGCCTCCATTACAGCAGTTTTCATTATTGCTGCTGTCAGGAAAACAATGGTGGGTGGGAGATGTGATCCAGTTGGTGGAGTGCTGGCCTAACTTGCCCCAGCATTTGGGAGGTGGAGACAGGAGGCTGAGACATTCAAGAACATCATTGGCCATGTAGCCAGTTTGAGGCCAGCCTGGGATACATGAGACTGTCTCATACAAAAAACAATGGAAGGGGGTCTTGAAGTCACCCAGCACCTTCCCTACCCAGATCTCCTGAGCACTTTTTGTGACTGGTCCCAGGTCCTACAGCCCACCCCAGAGAACTATTATTTCTAGCCTCCCAGTGAACAGGCCACACACCTCATCTTAAAAAGGACTAGGGGTAGTAAGTCTAGGACTTGGAGGCATTTAAACTCAGTGACTAGCTGTTTCATGTCACCTCGGCTTGGTGGCTGTTCATGGCTCTCCCCCCGCCCCTTCCCCGGCCCAGACAGTTCACCAAGCCCTCCTCCTCTCATTCAGCCTCCCTGCCAGAGGGTACAGGGAGAGCGAGCATCGTGGGCTGTGCTGATGTAGATGACACGGCTATTCTCTAGAGCCCTTTTGCTTTTCTTGTTACGTGTTTAGTAGAGTGACAGGGGGATGCAGATGGCCTCGGAGCCCTCACCAAACCCAGTGCCCTGAAATTCTAAGTGCCTGTAGAGCGTATTCCGTAATGAGACAGCGAGTATTTGCTTTTTGCAACATCTTACAAAGCTAGTCCCATTGAAGAATTCAGCTTTGATGGTGATCTGGAAAGATCTGTAGGTCTAGACAACAAGGACTGGAGCATATATAGTTGGTCATGTAGATCCAAAGTCAGCTGACTTAAAAAACAATGGTTTGTTTAATGACACCATAATTTGGGAGAAATGAAAATGATTGCCCGCTAAACATTGTCATCCTTCATTCAAACTTTACGGTGAGGCCCTGCATTTGGACAATGGTAAATCCATTAGGGAGACCTCTCAGGAGCCGGCCCCACTAGGGCACCAGGGGACTTGGTAGGCAGGATGCCTCAGGAGAGTGAAGCTAACACAGATACAAATGTGTTTAAAGTACTTTTGCATATATAAAAATATTGTTCTTGTTTTGGCTACAATTCCTGATCTTGGCTAATAAATTACATCAAAATGACCCCGAGTTAAAAAGGGGGGGGTGGGGAGGATCTGAGCAAATAGTGCCCCTGGTATTGTAAAGCTTTGAATGTTTTCACACCCCATTAATTTATTACTTCTCTTTCTTCATCTTTAAATTTCATTTTTTTTTTCAAAAATTCCGACTCCCCGCTGCTGCAGTGATTTCCATCTTGTTGTTAATTTCCCCTGCTCCATATGGAGCTCCAGACATTTCACCTGGAGGCTGTACTAGATTTTGCTGTAGTGATCCTACTTCCGGAGGCCAAAACTGTCATTTAGGGTTCCTGGTGCATCTGTCGGCGCCAGGCTTTTCACTGGCATGGGAGAGTGTGAATAACAAATTGGATGCACCTGAGATTCGGATGATTAGTGTGCGCTGTGAATCTCTGAGA